TCTCGAACAGAGCGTTCGGGGGAACGGAATGAGTCCCTCAATCCTTCGCCGGGGGCTGCAAATTCGTTGAGCCGGCTTAGGACATTTACATTATCTTTTTCTAACTGCAGCAGTCGATCCCCAAATTTTTTTTGATCACTTTCGCCAGTTGACGAGCCAAGGGGGCGGATCCTCCTGACCCAATGCCCATACTGGTTTGAGGAGTATGCCCTCTTGACTGAAAAGAAACGTTTCTGTTGTCACCAGCGTGGTCCCTCCCCCTTATGATGAGAACCTTGTAACTCGAGACTTCTTTGCTGGGGACCTTTCCCTTTTTGTCGAGTATTCACCATGACCACTGTTCTTTCTAGAGAAGAAACTAGAAAAACTAGTCGTTTTCCACAGATGGCGCCAGATTGTGCATGTATGTTCTTGCACAATATAAACACAAGAACAGATATCTTCCGTGGTGAACACGAGTCCGTCAATCGAGTGGTCAATCTTGCTACTTGGAATAGGTTGTGAGGGCCGAATGTGACCTATGAAGTGGTAATTGTTTTTAGGGGTCGCCTGACTGGTCCTGGGAGGCTATGGAAAGTTTATGGAACAGAGAAAAACAGGTTAGAGAGGCGCCAGAGTGTTTTTTGGCGTATTCCCTCCGACGATCAAGTCAATTCTTTAAGAAATGAGAAGAAGAAAACACTATATGGTCCTCAGAAAGAATTTTTTTGCATACCTTTTTAATGTGTTTGTGAGGACTATTTATACCTTACAAAACTCATTATTGCTGATAGCGTAGCTAATAGGTAATCATTAGAGTTGGGTAGTGTGCACGCTAATTTCTACGAGAAATGTCCTCATCCTTAACTGTTCGGGATCCCGAACAACCAATGCTTTCTCCTCAGTCTGCCGAGTGTTTAATGACCTTCTCTCGACAGGAATTTATTAAATGCCCAGGCATAAGAACATTTATTACCTTTCACTTCCAGGCTCTTATTCATTAAATGTCGTCTCATCGAGTGAAGGATGCACTAAATGCCTGACCTCCCAAGTCGTGTGTCAGCAAGGACATTCTGATTTTTTCGTCTCTGACCTGACACAATATGCCACGTGCTCATTTCCTTTTGGTTGAGCCTTCTGCTTCCTTGTGCCTCCTAACACCATTTAAGTAGCACGATATTGTGATGACTAGTCTAGCCTAGCCTAGGCTAGTAACATGTCAATCAATAGCCCCTGCAGGAGCAAAAACGCCTCGTGGACAGATACACCTCGGTGCCGAGGGACTAGCATGATTAGGGACCAATGTGCCCAAACTGACCGAAGAATATGTGTCGGTCCATGGCGTATTGGGGATCCTTGATCCCTACGAATAGTACCCTCGGAGAAGGGGATTATGGACCGACGAGCACGTGTCGAGATCACAGCGGAGAGTCTCCATTAACGCCGAGTACACGTGTCATCATCTGAAAGTGTCTGAAAATGTCCCATCAACCTCCACCCACATGCCAATGTCCACCACCAAAATCCTCTGTATATAAACGCGGTGTCTATATCCACCCAGCTCAAATGCTAGTATTGGCATTAATGGTATTTAGAATCGAGAAGTATGAATTGTGAGAGCAGAGTGATGAGCTCTGTGCAAAATGGGTGAGCTATGGGTTTGCAAACAGAGTAACAATTAGATAGACGTGATTCATCAAGTTGAATAAATAAGCTAATTCACTGTAATATAATCTCTTATTTATCTAATTCATATTGCTTGATAAAGAAGACGGTTACACTTTTAGGGTTTGTTTGGGAGGTTTTGAATACTAGTTGGGAATTAAACCCCTTTAAACTCATGTTTGACAACTATGCATTTAGTCTAGAGTTTGAAACCTACCCCGGTCATGGCATGATCATGAAATTCAAGTTCATGGGTTTTATGAAACCCAAAGGGGTGAGTTTCATATGTGGGTTAATTGGTTTAACATGTAAATGACATTTATACCCTCATATATCTTATAAACTATATATATAGAAATTAGTTAAGAGACACAGTAGTCATTTATATATAAATATATTATTATAATAGTCATATATCTTTGCGTATACCAGACATGAGTATGAACAATATTAAATATTGAATCTCATCTTTGAGTTTAAACAAGTCAATCTAAACTCATTCCAAAAAATATACCAAACAATCCCTTAAGGATAAAATTATCTATGTCTTGACAAGGCAAGAGTCTGCCTATTGATATTAAGAGTAGTGTGGTTCTCAAGTAATAATGGTGTAGGAGAAAGACTTTTTTTTTAGGTACGACAGTAACATTAACATTCTAGATATGATAACTTCTTGTGAAAAGGGAAAATTGGTTAAGTTCCACCAGGGAGGACTTTTTTTAAACAAAGGAGTCTATCATTTTTCTGTGGTCAGACATTGGTGGGTCCAGTTACGGTGCCAAAATTAAAATAACTTTGTTGTATTTTATTGTTTTGAGTAATAAAATTTAACTCGTGTAAATTTATTTTTTTATTTTATATTATTTTATCATTTTTATAATTAATAAAATCCAAATCAATCTAATTTTAGTATTGTTGTCGCATGTTTTGGTGTGAGAGAGAGAGAGATTCATTCTTCATAAATATTTTAGTTTCGACGTAAATAACCTATTTTTTACCAAATTGACGATAAAATTAATCAAAATACGTGTAAATTAATACGAACACATCGGGCGATTGAAAAAAAAGAAAAAAAGAAAAACTGCAAAAACAAATTGGTGTTGTAGACCTGGGTGAGAATGAAAGGGCACATGCAGGCATTCCCGGAGTCAAATTAAGTGGCTTGACACGACGTTGCTATCCTATTTCACATGACGAAGCTTTTTTCCTCCCAGGCAAAGAAAACAAGAAGTCTACTGCACGGACTAAACACTAAAATATTCTTCGACCAACGAAATAATCGACTCAAACTTAAATATCTTATAAAAAAAAAAAATAAATAAACTATCAAAAATATATTTCTTACTGGAATAAATTTATGTTGTCTAAACCAAATTCTAAACGATATTATTTATTTATTTGGAGACCTAGTCAACTAACTAAGTGGGTGTATTTTTTTTTTTTTTTAATGTCGGCCCTATCATTGTTGTTTGGGTATGTATCTTATTTCAATTGAGGGGGTACCCATGTCTAATATCTCAAAACAAAACATGTCGGAGTAGTTATCGGCAACTACACATCATTGGTTGGAACACAATTTTTTAAAAAAGAACAAAAAAATTCTCTCCAATTTCAATGCAAAAAGTAAAAGAATCCTACCTAATTTCCATTACAAGATATTTTAATACGACTTTATTAGTCATATGGTATGTGTCAGTAAACTCGGCTACTGGGTCCTTTAGAGGACTGTTTCAAGACATATATCGATCAATTGAACGAATGTTGTAATTATTTAATCAAAATAACTCTCATTACGCTTATTAAAAATCAGATCTACATTCACAGACCAGAATACTACCCTAGGTTATTATTATTAGACTATCAATGCAAAAAGAAAGAAAAAAACTACAAATTGTTCTGAGATAAACAACCAATCTTTTTTTTTGGGAAATTACGATAATTTTAGAATTTTTTTTTTTTGTAAGCAATACAAGAACTTTCCAAAAGTTACTTAGTACGTTAAAACACGTTTAATTGTAAAATTCTGACGGATTTTAACACGTTACTGCTAGTATAATCGCACCCAATGGTTTAAGAAGGTTCAAAGTCTGAAAAAAAATATCTTGCTGTACCACATTAGAAGAATCCAATCTGGAATTGGAGAGGATTCACAAGTAGCCAAACACATCGGTATAATTTGGACTGGCCAACCCGAATTCAATCCCAAAAAACAGAACTTGGGTTAGAACTTTTAATACTTGGATTGGGCCTCGTCCAAAAAATCCCAACCCGAATTGAATTTGAACAAGTCTCGGGTTTAAGCTTCGGATTGTCGGGTTAAACCAAAATATACATAAATATATAAATATATTTAATTAAAATTAGTATTTATCTTTACTCTTTAGAGTCCAAACTTTCACTTCAAGTCTTCACCCTTGCGCTTCATCACTTTCAAATCCCTTTCTCACTCATCACTCTTTACTATCTCAGCCTCCCTCTCTCAATCGTCACCATCTGAGTCATCTCAGACTCTCAGCCTCCCTCTTTCACTCATCACTTCTCCTTCTCTCACTCTCTCTCTCTCTCTCTCTCTCTCTCTCTCTCTCTCTCTCTCTCTCTTTTCATCTGCGTCTCGCCCTTCATATCAAATTACTTAAAAAAATCAGATCTATACTTAAAAAATTAAATTTACACTTAAAAAAATCAACCCGAATTAAATAACTCAAACCTAACTCAATTTTTAATCTGAAATCAACTCAAATTAACTAACCCGAATTCAGTCCGAGCCACCCGAATTAAACTCGGGCAATACTCGGGTTGAGGTAGGGTTAAGATTGAAGATTTTATACATAGGGTGGATCAATCAACCCGTCTGAATTGCACCTCCGCCCTTGGGAGAGGGAGATGGACAGCTATCAAAGTCTGAAATACCTTGCTGTACCACATTAGAAGAATCCAATCTGGAATTGGAGAGGATTCACAAGTCGCAAACACACCCTTAGGGGAGAGAGAGAGAGAGAGAGAGAGAGAGAATGTTATTGGTGCAAAACATACCAGCATACAAAAGTTGTCTTTACTCTCCCGCGTTTGGCGCTGAAATGGGAATGCTTCTGTCGCTCTTAGTATGTGCATAGAGCCACGGACTGTGTGGCAATAGGACTGACTTTTGTTAGTCAGATCAGATATCATGAAAGAGCATAGGATTATCCAACCCCCTCAAGGCTCAAGAAAAAAATAAATAACCACACACTAGAGGCAGTAAAGAAAACAGTAGCCAAAAGGTAATCCTCCTAATTATAAGGGCCACAACCACCACTACTCACTTCATTCACCTCTCTCTCTCTCTCTCTCTCTCTCTCTCTCTCCATTAGAGTAGAATGGACAATCAATGCAATCCTCTTCTCAGTTGGGCTTACTACTGCCAAGCAAAGGTAAAAAAATTCTCTTCTTCATTGGTATTCATTTTGAGTCCTGTGTGTTGGAGAGACTAATGGGTGTGTGTGGATTTTTTTTTGGTTATTGTTTTTGTTTTTATTTTTGTTTTTTTTTTTTGGGGGGGGGGGGGGGGGGGGGGTTGTCTTTGCTTGTCTGGTGATATTTGCAAATGAGGTTTATTTTCTGTGTAAATTGAGGGCTAATCAATGGTGGGTATGTGCTATTTTTGTTTTGACACAGAGCATGGAGGAGCTGAGGCAATCTCTTCTACTCACTACCCTGGAGCTGGATAGTACAAAGCTGAAAGCTCAAGACGAGCTGAAAATGAGAGATGATCAAGTCAACCAACTCAAAGATATGCTCAACAGGGCCATCCAAGAAAGAGATGAAGTACAAGACAAATGCCAGAGATTCCTCATTGAAAAACTGTTACTCCAACAACAGCTACAACAGTACCAACAAACAGCTCCAATGTCAGGAATTTCAAGCATTGAAGATGAACCCAGAAGAGGGTTAGACTCCAACAACGGATTTTCATCCTCAGATTGTGAGGAAAGCATTGTATCATCACCAGTTATTGACCCAGTTCCACCACCATCACAACCACCATTAGATGAAGTACCAGAAATACCACTGGTGCTAGACAAGCCATTGCCAGAAAAGGGGAAGCTTTTGCAAGCTGTGATGAAAGCTGGGCCACTCCTTCAGAACCTCCTCCTGGCTGGACCTCTTCCTCAGTGGCGCCACCCACCACCACCACTTGACACCTATCAGATCCCACCACCACCACCAGTGGTCATTCCATCACCACCACCATCTCATCTCCCTCACCAAGACTCTCTGCTCAACATTACTGCTTGCATCGATTTTGAAAACTGTGGCAGAGTTAATAGGAAAAGGGGTCTCAATGAAGATTCTGATTCTTCCACAGAGGTAAAGTACCAAAGGGTTGTTCTCCACTGACTACTACTTTTCATGGTAGTACAATTAGTTAACATGAAATTGCCATTTATACCAAGTTTAATGAGGATGATATTGCAATCTGGGTATGAAATTGATCTGGCATTTGTACAGAGGCTTGATTTTAGATAGAAGACACCCCAAATTAACTAGCTAGAGAAAAGAAAGAAGAGAAGGCTTTTTTCTGCAGCATTTTAGCTTGAAGGGGTTGTCTCTTTTTCCTTCACACATCAATTTTTACCTCTAAGATTTAGAAAAGGGGGTTTGATTTCTCCAATATGATTGTTGATGTAACTTGTAATCTTTGGTGATACTTTGATGATAGTTGTGTGTGTGTGTGTGTGTGTGTGTGTGGGGTTGGTGGGTTATGAACTGATTGATGACTGTGGAATTGTTAAGATTGGAAGATAGGTGTGGCCAAACCTCATGTTGTCAAAGTCAAGGGAGGCTGGGAGCCCTCCTTGTCGGGCTATGTGGATCCTACAGATCAAGATCCGGATCCAATATTACTGTTATGTTTGATTATTTTCATTATGTAATATAATATGCATGTTTTCCTATCTGCCTCCACTCAAATATAATTTACATACACCTTTTGCATGATCATTCTTTTATCATGAAAGTAAAGCAAACAGGTTTAAAAGTGTTCATGTTACAAAATTGCAAAGAGCATTCAATTTGTGAGTAATATATATATTGCATAAAAGTAAAGACAAAGAGAGGCCCCCAAAATACAAATTCAATAATATTCGCAACTTTTAAGTCTTCGTTATTATTGAACAACGATCACCCATGATATGCAAATAATCCAGGTTCAAGTTCTTCATTCATACTTTAAGAAATAGAACTAATTCATTCACATACTTTTTAACTTTCATAACCCCTGTCCTGAATAACTGGCCTTTTGTCCTCCTTTCGGATCTTCATCAGTCAGGAAACATGGGATGGAGATACTCTCAAATTTAATTTTATTTGATTAACTTCAATCATTCATCATTAATTTTATGAAAACTTATTGTTAGAGTATTATGGATTCATACAAGGACCCCATAAATTTAAGATGATTTTAACAAGATCAAGCCTATAAAATTTGACATTAAAATGTGGGACCATGGAATTGAATAATCTCTCAAACTATACAGGCCCTTGTTCTATTCAAGTTCTGCATTTAGGGAAAGAAATTTTAATTCTGCCTTTTTTAAAATCATCTGTAAGTCTACATTTCTAATTCAACATAAAGACATTACTACTAACTTTACTGCCATTTTTATTCTCAAATGAACATGCTTAGCCACAATTTTCAAAGCTGTGGAACCAACATCATCGATTGAAAAATGCCACCTCTTAATCTAAATCTCTCAACAGCTGCAACAATATATATTCAGCTATGCAAAAAATGATACGGTAAAAATAAAAATAAAAAACAGAACAAATATCAGGAAAGATCCCTTCCACAAGTTATGGGCACCATATGAAAGAAAAGAAAATATAGTTACCTTCTTTCCTGTGTAACAAATAAGCAAAGCATTGGACTGTGGAGGCAGTAAGAATGTTAGGGGCCAAACCTCGAAGGCACTTCGTGAATTGTAAATGAACTGGTCCAAATGCGAGGAATATCACAATTAGCCTGGATCATGGTCCATAGACCAGAGTGCCCTGTATCATATTATTACTAGAAAGAATCAATTCTGATCAGGCATATGCCACATGGGAAAATCAGTCAACCTGACTCTCATGAGTCTCATCACTTCTTAAGCTTCGACTTGTACACTCTTATGGACTTTGTTAAAATTCCAGAGGTGCGTAGCACTCATGCATCTGATCTGAAAGAGGGTTGGACTGTCCCAGCAATGACTTATCATGTGAGCGTCTGTGCAAGCGGGCTCCTGTTCTATATGGAAACAATCCAACTCCAACTGACGCCACCCATCCTGGTAGACAAAACAAATCATGTGTCTGACATGTTTTCTCTACTATGATTTCTGGAGGAAGCTGAAAACAAATTGTGTATACTTATGTATACTTGTTGAGGCAAAATAGTAAAACTCCCGAGTGTTATACAGCAGAGCCATTAAAAGACTTTGATTGGCCTTACCATCAAGTACCAATCATCTGAGTCTGCCAACTTAGCACGAAAAGGGAAAAAAAAAAGAAAAGGAAAATGTAATTACAGAAATGAAAACAAATTGCTAGTTTTGTACGCAACATATATATGCACAAGTATTGACAAAAAATATTGGATACACCACTTAGTGGATTACACAAAAGAAGTTCGATATGGTGGTAAAACAAAATCCGACAACTGTATCTTTCAGCCACCAATGCTTTACCATTACATAGGATTTGAACAAAGTCTTGGAAGTCTCTAGAGAGTATCAACACCTGAGCAAGACGACATCTGATAATTGCCTCAAATTAAGCTGATCAATTGGCCCATCCTGCACCACAAGGTGCCACATCTACAATTATGGTAACTAGGCACAACCTTCATAATCTACTAGGATGTGGAAAGGCTCATGCAATGGGTTTGAGACAAACAATTTACAGATACAAACTCACATGTGGTGGACGCCATTGATCTGTACAATGAAAATCATTTTTCAAAGAAAATCAGAAGATTGTAGCATTCGTTCCTTAATCATCTTCATTTTCATCTTGATTGTTCCGTTGATTGTGCTTCTGAGCAGTGTACATCTCAGCAACCTGAAAACAAAGATGAAGGAAGTAAAGAACTTCGGTGGTGAGCAATCAGACGAGAATTCAACAAAATAAATTAAATAAACCACAATTGCTCTTCACCATCTCAGATGATGAGGCCTCCTCTGGACTCTTATCTTCACGGACACGAACGAGACGCGGAAATCGGAGAGAAATGCCCTATTGCAAGAACATAATAAATATGATGACAGAAGATGCATCACTGATTTTCTAAATATATATAGAGAACAGTACACGCTTCACCTCCCTTGTATTTAAATTTACGATGCATTTATGACGTAGCAGTCATTTGAAATCAAATTACACTTGCGCACACAAGAATGAGTGGTATTGTTGAAAATAGTGGTTGGTTCATATTGACTAAGCCGAAGATCCAATGACAAGTAATCACAAGTGGAGCATGACTGCAAAGTAGCACAGCGATGCCTACTGGCCAATCAGTGGTATCTATTGTCTGCTATCAGGATTGAATAATAGATTGAGGGTGCGAGGGGCGTAGCTCCCAGCGGTATGGTTTGGGTATATTGGGGTTTCCCGATTTATATCTGCTATTTGAGTTTTGCTAGGATTGGTTGTATCAGATTTACTAAAACTAAGTTTTTTAGTTAGACCAAGATTATGGTTATTCACCGGTGCGTATGAATAAGTTGTAATCCTATTGGGATATAAATATAGTGCCACTCCCATGAACATAGGTACAATATCAACTGAACCACATAAATTTCGTGTTCATTGTGCTTGATTGCTTTTTTTTTTTTTTTCCTGATTGTTCACAACAAATATGTTTATGAACATACATAAGAACCTATAATATGACTACATACGACGCACTATGAGCTGAAAGGAGAAAAAAAAGTGTAGCCAACTCCAAGTGTGTGGGTGTCATGGTTTATTTCATTTTTTGGAGTTGTGCATGTACAACGATGACTGCATGTGTACAAAAAAATGGTAAGTTAAAGAACAAAACAAGATTTGTTCAAACCTTATCAGGATCAACAATCCCAGTTGCAGCACGATAAACAGGGCTGATAGTCAGGTCTGCAGCTTTCACCTCCCACACCTGAATGAGGAAACAACTGAAGATTCATGAACATGTAAGAATGTACTAAAATTCCTGATTAGTATAGGATAAAACTATATTTCCATTAAATTAAGATTTGGAGCAACAAAAGCAAACTAAATATAATGAGATCTTCATACACCAAAAACTAATCAGGAATTTTAATCAAGTGCCACTTTCTGACAACTTCTTTCCATCAAGTGGTCAATAAATGTTTCTTAGTGCAAGAAACAGGGTTGTGAGATTTCCATAGAATAAGTAATCTAAAAACAAAATCAAAATATATGATGGAGTAGAAGAGTAACAAGAAAGAGGATTATACAAATAGGGTTAGATATACGAGCAGATAAGAATGTTGTAACTATTACCTCAGAGGTTTCAAACCAAACATCTGGATTGATTGTATCTGCATATCGATAGTACGACTGGAGAAGACATGAATGTTAGAATTAAGATCTGAATAGAGAAAATTCACAAATGGATGATGCTACAGAAATTCCAATAGATTATAGGGAAAAAAAAGGACACAACCTTTGGTTTGGGAATCACTTTAGAACGAAGACTGGCAGAACGCTCTTCAAGCATTGCTTCAGAAAACCCAGTCCCTATCCAGCATTACATAAATTTTCTAGAATGCTTCAGTGTCTTAGATGATGGTAAGCAGAAAATTTAATAGCCGTTTGACAAATTTTGTTGCCTCCTGAAAGAGTGGGAAAAAAGGACGGCTTACCAATTTTGCAAATGCTTTGAAATTCCTCGTTACTGCTATCATAACAAGCAAGGAGAAAGGCGCCATAAACACCTAGAAGAACAATAAAATGCCATCAACAAAGCCTTAACTTTAGGTATGCAATAAGAATAATAGCCTGAATAATCCGTTGATTGGAGAAACGTAAGGATATCTATATAGCCAATGCTCAAACAAGAACATTTGTGTCGATATAAAGATATGACTAGGTATTACAAGATGTGCATCACTCGATTCAACAGAAGAGTGTGTGCCAGTTGAAGTACCAGTGCGTTTCCCCCGACCATGGAAAGCAGCAATGGGTACCAAATCTAGCGAGTCACCAATACTGCAGAACACAATGGGTAAAACATGTAGAAGTTCACTTCAGAAGCCTAATCAGAAACAAAGAAAAGAAAATAACATGGCAGTACTCTTTACCACTTACCTCTCCATGTAATCTTTCTTCAATTTAAGCCAGTTATTTGACCGCTTTGAAGGCTCATATGTGGCATCTCTATTCAACGTTTTGATAATCAATCCCTCCGAACTGCAAATTACGATGACTAATGATTATCTTTTCCATAAACATGTTATTCTTCAACTGAAACATTTATTTAAGTTTTCCATTAAGAAGAATTCAAATACAAAAAAAAATTTTGAACCAGGAAAAGAATTATTATGACAGCTCGCAGATAAATTGCACCTACCTCCTAACGATGCTGATTTACAAAAGCAACCCACACATATAATAAAATAGCATATGCAAAAACAAATGATGAAACTTAACAACGGCATGGTCTCTACAGACCTAGGAGGAAATCAAGAACTGGAGTCACATATATTTCATTTGAAAACAACATTTCAAACCCCATGTGTGCTGGGTAAAAATTGGTACACCCTCAACAACAAAACAACAGTTTTTGTATGGTATAGCAGGCTGTTTAGCTATTTGTATTGATTTGCCACACTAGTTAAATACAATGCAATGCACTGGCAACCTCAACTTGGCAAGATGGGAATGAAGGTCAAGAGAGTAAGGAAGAAAAGGTTATTTGCTATTGGCTCACCCTTGTATCAAGCCTTGGTACGGCCTATACATGATTGGGCCATGACGGTTTGGCAAGGTTAAGAATGGATGATACCTATAACTAGACCCAACCATTGTAGTACTTGAGAGGAAAGATTTCATTTCTCTCTTTTGATCTCAAGGCTGCTACCGATTCCTTACCTGTTATCCTAATGTCCTGTATGATTGCAGAATTGTTTGGAAATCCCTTTGCAACTTCCTGAGCATTCATAATTTGTTCTGTAGTCTTTCAATTATCATATAGTTTATATAATAAACGCTATAGGTCATCAGTTGTGACGTTTACGAAATGTCGACCTATTGGATTTTTGAGTTATTGGCCTCTATTTTACACATCATATGCTTGTGTGGATAAAGATGCATTTTTGGTAGCGGTGGTATTGGACAAGTTATCATGGAAGAATCTCTTTCTTATTTATACCTTTCCTTTCCATGATGACTAGGGACAAATAAATAAAAATTTCACTTCGAATTCCGAACCTCAACATCCTGCTGCTCATGGCGTTTCACGATCAATATTGAAAATGAACCGAAAAGTGGTAGAACGTGCAGAACCACATATTGGATCACTCCAAAGTGGCACGAAGCCGCTAATGCCGAGTCGGCCTTATGCCGCTAACTATGCCCTGCGTGGTCCTCTGGCACGGTGGAGGTTCCGTAGCGCGTCATGAGCACCGGGCTAAGGGGCGATTGAGCAACGCAAGCGAACCACCCTTCCTTACTATAACATAGGGGCAGAAGGGAGAAGGTTATGAAGGTGGCCTCGTTATCCACACCTCTAGTCGGATGAATGGAGGATCGACCGACCCGGGGTTTCATGAGCGTTGGCGGGTTCTGGAGTGCATGTCAAGGGCACTAACACATACCCTAGGGTGATCATTACCACTTGCACCTCACATCTTGGCATAGTAGAACGTGTAACCCGCCTACTGTTCCATTCAACTACATTTGTTCATGTAATCCATAACCTAACAGAATGCAACAACGAAGGACAACCCGCTCATACAGCCAGCGGGGAGGATGGCACTACTAGCAAAGACCGTCTGACAAAAATGACGCATGTGCGAAGCGTGGTAGGCCTGCGCCAGGGGAACATAGCATAGGAAGGAAAGGGAGCTTGGATGGTGAAAGAGCCAGGGGAAGCCGGGTCATTTGACGGAAATGAGAGGCTTTTCCCTATGAGAGGTCATTCCATTTGTGCTTTTAGCAAGTAGGCGACGCAAATCTATGCCTTCTATATTTCAATCGGATACCCTAAACCTCGGGTGTCATCAACTTGAAATGGAAACTTTAACTGGTAATCATTTCTGATTTTATAAATACTTAGGGTTTGACAAAGGCCAGGCTGAACCTACACCAACCTCAATCCAACTAGACCTGGGCTTTGGCAAGGCTTATATTAGCTTTCATTGCACTTGGATCGAGAGTTGGACAGCCAAAGCCGACCTATGTTGGTGAGAATCTGTAACAAAGCAGTTGTGGATTACAGTAGTGCATTAGAAACAAAGTCTTAGCCTCATTTGTATAACAATCCGAAACTAAATTATTTGCATAAATTCCTGACCCTAGTGGCCCCAGATGCTGCTTAAACTCTCACTTATCAACGTGTGCAGGGTGCAATTTTTTGAGTTCATGCATCCATTAATTTTTTTGAAAAATTCACAGGTTTCAATTTGGCAAACAACTTTAAAATATAGCTCCAAAAATTTAAACTGAAGTTAATAAATCTTAAAAGTAGTCAGGTCAACCATTTCATCATCCTCTTTACCTTTCTAAATAGAAGATTATAACAGCAGGTGCACTTTGTACACCAATAAAGCTCTTTGAGATGAAATTGTATTGCAGCAGAAAGCAGGAAATTTAATTTGGTAAGTCGCAGGAAACAAAACTAAGGGGTTGAGCAGAAGGAGAAAGGAAGAAAAAACTAGAATCCACTATCTGCTTCACCTCTCATGCTTGAGGATCTCGAAATGTATAACAGAAGCATATTTGCAGCTCATTTCCATTCCCGTTAATGTAAATATGACTGAGCCTGAACTCAACTTAAAACTGCAGTTGGTATGGCTTGGGTGCTCTTACAGGTTAAATAATTCATTGAGCAAGCGGTAACATAGCAACAGGTATAATACAATCACTCTTTTTTTTTTAAGTCCCAAAACTAACATATCCCATTGAAAGCCTATAAGAACAGAGATGCCCGAAGGGCAATCTTTGCCAGCCAAATTCACAGTCCAGCCAACCAGTTAAGCAAAAAATCCTAAACTGATCCCTTCCCCTCCAATCCACTTCTCTATTTCTGCTGTTCTTCTTCTCCTCCTTCGCAGTCCCCCTCCTTTTTTCTTTTTCAGGCAAGTGCAGCCAGTATTTTATGCTCCAATAATGGATTCTTGATCTCAAAAGGACATCTCACAGGAAAGAAGAACAAGAACAAAAGGAAATGAAGAAAAGAAGGTAAATAAAAGAAAGGAATAGATACTTGTCCAGTCAATCCAACCTAGCTCAATCAAGATAACTAAGCCTCAACTGACCTTCAGACTACTGGATACATACCTGTACAGAGTCCAAGCTTCCAAGCACCCCAAGTTAACAGAACCAATGGCCTTGCACCCAAATAATAATATTGATGAGGATGTTGATGGTCTACATCTACAGGTACAATCATGAGTCAATTGTCTTGGAAAAACCTTTCTAATGTCTCTAGTTGTTTGACTTGAGAAAGTATGATAACATCTCATACTACACCTTTTTGTGGTAAAACAACGAAAATGGCAAAGCATTCAGGTCAAGAACATCGACCAATACCTAAAGACGAATCAGATATCACTCAGCAAATGTAACCATACAAAAAAAAAAGTATAAATAAAACAGATCCAAGTTGACATGTTTGGACACTAGCGATTTTGAGATTTTGACATAGATACATTTGCACACAAATTTCCTCGAGAAAGTGAAGATATGGAGATGATACAAACAAGACCAAATTGTGTTCCTGAGAGAGCATACAAAACAGGAGATAACTACCCATAATCAAGTAATAAAAAGAAATGAAAAGAATTACCTGGAATCAACAGCAGCTTCAAGGAATTTTTGTATTTCCTCAAGATCATTTGATGTTATTGCTGTTGCAAACTGAAGAAAACCGGGTTCTTCCTCAAATGAATTGTAAAGATGCTGCACAAAGCCACCGCTCAAAGGCATGATCAGATGTTTCTTGCTAGTAAGTCAAATCAATTTTTTTCTCAACTCCCATGAAATTTAGTTGTCAGATTGAACGAATGCCAACATTGAATTTGTTTAAACAAATCCAATGTTGGGCTAACTATATCAAAAAGCACCAAGGGCGCTACTCTACTAGTTTTTTTGGCGTTCGTTGCTAGTCAGACACTTGTCTATTGACCATCCATAACTATCAGTTCTATAATACTTCAAGAGTGTCCTACTTCAAGAAATTTTAGTTAGCTAGAAATTTCCCCAGAAGCTGGCAACAGAAAAGTTTCGATCTTTTGATACTATGGACCTGTGTTATACAGAATCTTTAAAATGCATCAAATGTCCCTGTCTGACCTTGATGCCCAAGTGAGGGTACAAAATATCGATCCTTCCCATTGAATATGCAACTGGATAGCCTTTTTAGCAATTCAAATTTATTGTACAATCACACATAAAAATCCCAGTTGTGTTCCCACTGTTGCATAATAGCTTTGAGCTTCTCAAATTGCCAGTTTTCAACTCTCTATGTTACGTTAAGAACCCTGTTCCCCATGAAATACATAAGCAATATTAGAAGATATGAATACTTTGCCATATTCCTGTATCTTTGGATTTTGAGATTAGATGAATTCATCTCTTAAAGCCATACATCCACAGCCCATTCACATCAAGTTGATATCCACAAAATGACTTTAGCTAACAAAGGCAGGAGATTTAGTGCCAAGTTTAATGAAAAATGAACACAGCTACTTAAGAAGTGATGAAGATTCAGGAAAAATGAACAGAGCTAATTAAGCAGTGCTGAAATTTGAGTTACATATTGAACATGCTATCCATTGCGCGTTAATACCAAGGAAATAATTGAAATATTTCCACTCCAAATACAACTTCAGGCACTTAACACTTATTGTTGTACTTCAGAAAAGGAAAATGGAGTAACAATAATAGTTTTATGTGGCCCCAAAAACATCACCAATGAATATTTGAGAGAGTTCTCTACCAACTATCATCCTCAGTAGAACTGGTAGGCCAATATATAGTAATGGCATAGCCCTTGTTAAATGTTCCAACATCACACCTATCCTATTAATTCCCTTGCTGCAAGAACTTGCACTTAACAAAGAGCTACTTAGCTCCCAGAGTATGCAGAAACCCAACTCCTCCAATGCTCCCGTCCAAATCTTTGCTTGAAACTCCAGTAGATTTTTTGCTCAAAATCATAGCCTTTAGATTACCACGTGCCTGGCTTCAGCAAACAAACCATGACAGATTCATATAGCCTCTCCATTGTTCTGCGCCTAGTTTAACAAGTGTTGCATAGCAAACACTCGTAAATTTAGACTTCTGCACAGTTCAAGAATACCGCCAATACATGATTGCCTTCTATTCTAATACTGAGAAGTATAACCCATTGAAACCATCCACCAGCTTGGGTTACAAAAGAAGATATCGAATGAGTATTAATTATTTCACATGATGCACAAGACATAAATGAATCTATTTACACTGTCTAGCAGCATCTACAACTTTAGAAATTTCTCTCATTAAAGAAGACACCAAAAGTTTTTTCTTTCTTAGACAGGTTCGGGTGGATTTGTTGTGATTTGTTCCACAGAAAACACAACTGAAAATTGTTTAAAGCTTCTTTTTCCTATTTTCATTGGGTTTGTTTCCCAATAGGGCCAACAGCATTCCCTTGTAGTACAAAACCAAGTCAATAGACAACAAGGATAACATAAAATAATTATTGCACTATCAAGGGGTATATACCAAAGGTTCCTCAAAACATTCCATCACCCGCATGAATTTTAGTAGAGTTTTAAACATGTAATGAAAAAAAAAAAGAGAATAATTTTAGCAAGCAATCAATCTAATTTTTAAACAAGAAATAAGTAGCTCAAATGAAATTAGGTAGTTCAATTTTACTTCAAGCAACATGATTACAGCATTTTGACTTCCAGATAAATGAACAATATTTTCCAAAAGAAAAAATCAGTGAATCATATTTCTCAACTCAACCCAACAAAACCTTATCCCAACATTTTTGGAGTCGGCTATAAATATGTCCAAACCACCAAAGTCGAATTTTCCTTAATTTATCTTGTATATGCGCTATCGGATATATTCATTCCTAATTCTGTCCATTCCAGTTTTACCACACATCTATCTTAACGTTTTCATTTCCGCCACACTCAATTTTTGAATGTATTTTTTTCTTAATTACCCAACAATTAGTACTATAAGGCATAGGTTTTATGCCCAACACTTAGTACTATTATGCTTTCTCATTACTTACACAATGTGGTTACTTTTAGATTCGAACCTACCACGTAAAGGTTGTCAGGCCAGACAAACACTAAACAATGGCCCCTTAAAATCTCCAATTTAACTAACATAAGATAATAGAAAAAATTAAAGAATAATTACTTGGTTCATTAAGCATGAAAGCGAATTGTACCTCTCTACGAGCGTCAAGCTGCTCTTGTAGAAGTGGTTGGCCATCAAGATACAAGATATCAAAAGCAAATATGCAGACATCAACCTTAATGTCACTCATGACAACATTTTTACGAGCACGTGTACTGAGGATCTGCCATAAATAAATTTTTGTAATTATATATTCTATGGACTTACAAATATATCTTCTAAGACAAAGATGGTACATATACATATCCTGACACACTGCAGAACTACATTATTTTAGCAAAAATGAGAGATGAAGCTGGCCTCTTGGTGGCATAACACACTGACAATAAGAATAAGTAAAATGACGCGGGAACTGTGGAAAATTAGAACAATGCAAAAATTTAGATAACTCTAAGAAACTGACAATAATTCTAGATGACAAGTTCAAAAAAAATATAATAAAGTTATCATGAATTAAGTATCTGTGATTACTTTGTATATAAAGTTAGGCTTATTTTAAAATTAAATAATAAAGTTATCATGAATTAAGTATCTGTGATTATTTTGTATATAAAGCTAGGCTTATTTTAAAATTTGAGCAACCCTAGTCCCAGAGTAAGTCAGTCTTGCTCGCATAATGGAAAAGCAAACCTCCATATTTAGTTGACCAATTGCACTTCAAGCTTCTGCTTAGTAAATCATTCTGCAAAGGCAATTTGTTGTGCATAGCTTTAAAAAACTTTTGCTATGTTTTTCATCATCTGCTTCACCACTTTTCCTCCCTTTCAAAACCAAACTGGGGCAACCACTAACATGTAGCTTGAAACATGATGTATACAATCGAAGTTGGAGCTTTTCTCAAACATATAAAACAGAACCAAAACGTCATCCTAGAACACAAAGTTCAATACATATGTATACTGCTTGAGGTTGGAGTGTATCATTGGGGCAGCAACACTGCGTCAAATGTTAATCTTTCAGGGAGGAAGAGCATCAAGATGGTGACAAGACACCAATAAGATGGTTGTGTGGCATTAAATGAAAGGGTTGAGGGATGGGGCAGCTGTTAAGAGAGCTTGTATCCCACACTGAATTATTAGGACACCAAGGTTGGTTTATATATTCAAGGGGCCACTCCACCCATTGTCAATTGGTTTTGGGTTGGACGATCTAACAGTAGCCACTTAAATGCAACAAAATCAACAGAGGCCAGGGTAACACAAAAGGAAATAAATTATTCCACTTTCTGTGCATTGCAACTGGATCGTGGTTCAGAGCTTTACTAGTTAGCCTCTAGTTAGGATTGTAGATTACTTGCTGAGAGCAGGATTGCAAAGGAAGGCTAACAGGAAGGCTGGAATCATGGTTGGGGTGAATTTGAAGACCACCAACCTCTTGAATTAGACGTGACCAGTCTAATCTCGCCAATAAGAAAACCAATTCTAACAACCAGAACATCTCCAAAAAGCAGCTTCAGTCAAATTGTTTCGACTGAGACTGTAATCAAAAGAAGCGGTTTGGAAACTGCTCATATCATACATTAATAATTGAAAAATGCTATACCATTAATTGATCAGAGAAAACGTCACCTGGAAGGGCAGGATTTTCTGTTTCTCGCGGTCATATGCAACAAGTTCACAATCGAGAACAAATGATGTTACAGATGATTTCTTCAATCTGCAGACAACCCAAAAATGTTAGCGATGACTGTTCACACAAACAGCTCATGTCAAATAAAATAGAAATAAATCTCCAGGATATGCGTAACTTCTCAGTATTGTAAATAAATATATTGCCATAGATGTAATCTAAAATATATATGACCATAATTCAACAGGTCAAGCAGAGGTACATTGTTCTCATCAAACTGCACTCATACTCCTAAGCATGCAAACATAAAAAATTGAAGCAGCAACACTGCCACTTTTAGCTAAACACTGGAAAGATAAAATGTCGAATTTATTAAGCCAATCAATGATTACTAAAGAGCTCAAAACATTATAGAGAAATAATCAAGAAGTAAGATCCGAGGAAACCAGTCAATGATTCCTAACAATAAAGGATAGTAAAACACTACTTTATGACCCAAATATCTCAAAAGAATCCAAATCCAAACCACTCAGTTTGCAAACACCACCTATAAAACTCATTTCCAGTGGGTATGCAAAGAAAGAAGGTCTATGCCCAGATTTGTTTATATCATTGAAATTTTCAGAAAATTTGGAGGATACACTACATAACAAAACTCCATGGGAAATCACAAGATACAACAAACTAAGGAAAAATATTTTGGCCAGAAAAGGAGACTACCTTGAAACAGCAGCAATGACATCAGGAAACTTTCCAGTGTTTCGCTCAGCATTTCGACTGTATATCTCAACTGAACCATTCTCCATGTAGTGTATCTATGTCAAATCAATTATAGAACACAATGCCACTCAGAAGCAGCAAAAACATAAACAAATGGAGATTAATTTAACTAGATATTTCACCTGAGCACGTTCTCCATCATACTTGTATTCACAGGTGAATTCCATATCCTGAAACTTATCTACAATTTCAGATACCCCTTTAGTTGGTTTTGCTAGCATAGGTCCAACAGGGATACCAGGTGAAAAGCTGCATGTCTTTGCAAGATTCCATACACCGCCAGTAAGAAGAGCAGAGACTATTTTGTCATAGACTGGAATTACGGAGTAAACTTGTTTTACAATCTTCGCGGCCTGGTAGAAACAGTCAAAAACATTATTTTTAAAACCAAATGAAATGCATAGTTCTGCAAATACTATAGCAAATAATAATGCAAAGTGAAATTCACTTTCATGAACACAAAGCATTAAAAAAATAGAAGGAAGCTGAAATATTCAGAAATTGAAATCTCAAAAACTAGGAAGGATCATAATAGACTAAAGAGGGTAATTTTTCATTCAAAATTAAAAACTAGAAAGAAGTAAACAAGCTGGCAACTTAGTTGTATACACGGCTTAAAGCCTCATTCAACAGTCAAATTCCTATCAGAAAGAAGGATACATTGAATTCCAAACTCAGACGAAGGACATCAACTACACAACCAAACATCACCTGGCTTGACATGGATTCATGTTTAAGATCACACCCTCAAGCTCCTGAGATGTCTAATATGATGAACTCAGGCTTGGACCATTAAAATTACTCTAGGCTTATTTTAGCTTATATTGGGATAATAAACTCAACAAATTATGTAAATAATGTTTGAGGTGCCGGTGAAAAGGTTCCTTCCAGTACTTTGGTAATTGCCCATTAGCTAATGATTATACCAAAACAAAGCATATAGGAGTCCAAGGCAGCCTTTGAAAAGTACTTTTTAGAAGCATTGTTGAATCTAACACAAAAGTACTTATTAGAAGCATTGTTGAATCTATCACTGAAGGGTATCATATTGGATGTTTCCAATGCCTTTTGATCTATATTTATTACAGATGCCCTTTTCCACGGTTGACTTACAGCTAATCACGTGCCAATAACTTCAGCGAAAAGAATCCCTCAGGATACAGGAAACTTTTCCATAATCATTTTGAAAACACAATGGACAATTTTTGCCAAAATTATGATACTTCTGTACACCATTGGATGGAGCTTCTAGTCAAACTCTGCTTGTATTTCAGAACCTTGCAAATGCACCAGAAGCTTCATAGACCAGTCATAACCATGATTTATACTTACTTTCTAAAGTCCTAAAGGGCAAACTAATTGTATCCAAAAGGCATGATCACCCATCCTGCCACTGAACCCATTCCTCATGCAGTCAGCATAAACAGTGTGTCCGGTACCAATAACTTGTATGCATCAGGAAATTGACTAAACTCAAATTGTGCTTGGTTAGGTGCACGCATCTCATGCTTGAGTTAGAGCTATTTCTAAAACAACTGATATTGGGCAATCAAAAACGAATAGGTTGTTTCTTGGTATGTTATACAATAAAAAAGCGCATAAACCTACCTCTTCTAGTGGAGAATTTATGTCTGGAGGAGATGAAGAATGTTTTTCAGTATACACAGCAGCATGGCCAAGCGCAGCTAAGAGGGTTTGCTCTGCCAAACCAATCCGCAATTTTGTCTGCATGAAGAACTCAAACCAAGTTTACCATAGATAGAACATACGAAGCAACTTACAAATCTCAGATATATCTGCCCCTAGACCTGGAGTAGACGAATTAAATATTGAGGTTCACAATCAGTGGCTGCAACAAGAAGGGCCTTGATATGGTTCTTTTTCTTCTCTTGACTGTCCTTGCCAGATTCCTGTCAAGATTCAAACAGAAATAAGCGTATGTTATGGCGTAATGAAACAATCTTTGTTGTTAGAGCATTTCAGCTAGTTATTGAATCATTGGTTTTTGCCTCATGCGCAATTGTATAAGGGACAGAAAATAGTGCATCTACAATCAAAAGTAGTTGAAAATTAATAAGTATTGCTTTCATAAGGACAGAAATACACTAACTGTTGCCTTTTGTAACAGCTAATTGGATGAAAAATCTGACTTAGTAAAAAGGTTAAATTAATGCCACCACCCAGATAGATTGCCACAAACACAAGGATAGCCCTTGTTTTTTTTGGAATGTCATTGACACTCACTCTAATTAATATGTCCATTTCAGTTGGTACCCCTAAGGCCATGGCAAAATAGACAGCAAATGACGGGGCAAAAAGTGCTACTTTCATGAAAGATTCTTTCTACAATTCGAATATTGCCTTTCGTTTTCTTCTCCACAAGTGCACTACCCCAAACTTCTTCTCCTCAATGCACACCACATCACTGCCCCATCAGTTGTATTTAAAAATAAATTAAAAAACAATTCGCTCCACCTCTAAACCAGTAGAAGCACCACCACTATCCTCTACAACACTGCACAAAATTGCGAAATTTTACCACTCACAACCCTACCTTCCGGTCTTCCACACACTGCTCCCTTTTACACACTCCGATTTCAACCCTGAATGTGATTAGAATCATGTACAGTTAACCAGTCATGGTTGAGACCAATCACATAACAATCCTTCCAGATTTCTCAAAGCTCTGTGCATATCCAAGTGCAAGAACCGAGCATAACAGCCAATTAAACAATCACGACAAAGACCACAATCACGACCACATTCATTTCATCACTGCAAGTCAAACCACCTACTCCAAATCTCAAACCACCACTGCGACTTGAACAAACAACACAGCCGACGATCATAGTGGTGGCCTTCTTTTTTAAGTTATGAGATATGAAGTCCAAAATGTTCAAAGGAAATTTGGCCCTCAAATTTAGGTCTTCATCTTCAGGAAGCTCTCAAATTAAGATTCTTGGGTTGCCACATTAACAACAGTGAGCAGAGTTGGTGATGGTTGTGGTGGTCTACAGGGGTGTTGGTTATGTGATATCAACTATTATGGTGGTATAGAAAGGGAGGTTATGGTGAGCAATGACTGTTATGGTCAACTGTTGTGGTCAGCGATAGAGGGCTATGTTCGAAGATACCTCACAAGAGAGGAATGAGAGAGTGAAGGGTGGTAATGCAGGAGGAGAGACGGGCAAGGGGTGGTGGTGGTGTGCATCAACAGCTCCCTGTTAATACATAGATATATTTCTTATATACACATGAAATATAATCAGAACAGAAATGTAAAAGCTTGATTTCAATAGCACGGATGACAAGTGCTAGTAGGAGATGTCAATGTAGGAGATTTCAAAAAATACAAGGAATGCTCCTGTAATTATGACAATCCATGGACAGTGTGGTATTAATTTTCCACATAAAAATGATGAAACCTAAAAGGACATCAAGTTGTTTCTCATATCACTAATTCATGCTTTAGGTCCAAATCATGATTAGTGAAACCAACATACCTCTATCCTCTATATAAATGGGGTTGTCATGCAGAGGTCAAAAGCATTTTTTGGTTGGCACTTGGCAAACCTGGTGGAAACAATACTCAAACAAAGTCAAAGAGAAGCAGGTGTGGGGTGGCCATGGTAATGACAATGGCAGTCACAATGACAATAACTTTATTAAGTGACAATGATGGTAAAAGGATTTATAGTTGATGTATCCAGTGGTGGTGATGATAAAATTGGTTGTAGTGTCAAACATGCAAGCAATAACCACTGAAGGTTTGGGAAGTGCCAAATGTACGCGGCCTTGTCCGCATGCAATGCGATGGTGATAATATGACGACAAAGAAAGGTGGTAGTGCTAGTATTAATAGAGGCTGCACACTGGTCATAATAGTGGAACATGAGGAAAAAGCCTACTTCCAAAACTAAGATTTTGGCTTCAACTAAGATAGAGATTACCAATGTTTCCCAACTACAATAAGTCCACTTTTATCCACTATCCTAGTAATGCCCAAGTGACTTACCTTTAGGCGAAATACACCCTCCAGAATAATGACAAACTAAAAAGGTTCACCAGATGAATTAAGCTATATCCAAGAAGAACATAGTCCTGCACAAACTACCAGAAGCAACTTGAAGAAACAAACCGAATGATCAAAATCTTACAAAAAAGTGATGATAAAATCATACAAGAAAGAGACAATCATTGCCTTTCCTTCTTGCTCCTAACCAAATGCATAGAGCCAACCAATAAATTGTCCCCTGTTTACATTTTCAATCGTTACTGCACATTCTTCATCCCATGTTACCTCCTATCTAATGAAGCCTATACCAAAAGTTCCAGCATATAGTTAATGATAATGCTGCTAAAACTATTCAATTACACCATTCTCAAACCCCACTAATGAGAGTAAACTGAGTGGTATTTCTTACTTAATTATAAACCTAATATTTGGAAATTAATGAATTTATTCGTTACTTATGACTAGATCACGTAGAGCCACAGTGTTTGGGGGGGGGTGCACAAAAGCAGAAAAATTCAAAACAAATCTTAGAGTGGGAGCATCTTTGAGAGCATCATGTTATATGCATAAATAGATATTTACATATATAAAAGTTAGTAAAAATATAATATTAAAAAGTAAATTTCATCCACAAATATTTGATAAATTATTTAAATTTTTAGTAACTATCAGTTTGGCTTTTGAATCAAAACAATACCATAAAGACCCCTTTGTAAGGCGTATCTATGTTTGAACAGCTATACCACATCGGAAACTGAGAAACAATGGAAGACAATTAAAGGCTATAAAAAGGAGTCAGTGGGATTTTTTCACACCAACTACATATGTATTGCTTACATGTGGGGCCTTAGCTGTAAAGGCAGCCGAGGCCTCAAAGTTGTTGCCTTGGGCTTGTGGCCCAATTTGAGTATAAATGTTGAATTCATTGTTGAATTTTTTGAATTCGTGAATTCAACATATTGAAAACACAAATTTGTCACGAATTCGCTCTTAAAGGACAAATTTGAGTACTGAGCATTGGGGCATGACTTGTTTTAGGCGAATCATGTGACTTAGCTTATGACACCGATTGTATGAAGAAAAAAACCTTTAAATAGCCCTGTATATTTATTCTTTAATCACAAAAAAGCGTAGAGAAAGGATTAGAATTACTACCATCAAAAACAAATAAGAGTCTTTATTCTTTTATCATGTGGAATAAAAATGAGATTTAGGTAGTTTCCACGTATTTTCCCTCCCTCGCTTCCTCCTCTCACTCTATTATTGGCCAAAACAAGTATGCATATGATCTACATTTAATTTTTTAACTTGCTTTGCCGAAGATTGTTTCATGGTAGTTATAAAGCCCAATAACGTTGGAACCATGAATTGTCAACAACATTGCATTAGACCACTAATAGAACTTTTAGACAAATTCAGATAACCAAAAAATTGAGGCTGTTGAAAGGAAGAAAAAATGCTTCCTTTGTAAATTATTGGCACTATTGGTTACTTCACCCGCTCTTAGAAATTATCATAACCGTTTAACACTTCACCACCATGAAGCAATAGCACGTTAAATGGCTCACATATCAGTGCCCAACACCTCTGGGACAGTACGTGTCTGAACACATCCCGGACACGTGTCGGACATGCAGCAAAGAGTGTCCAAATTATTTTTTTTTCATAATTTCAAACACGTCGAGACACATTTTGAAACAATTTTATGCTGTTTGATTGAAATCCATTGAAAATACTCACAGTTGTTCATTGTTGGTAGTTGTCATAGAAGAAAGAACTGCATCATATGAGGGAGACGATCAACAATGGCCATGACCCATGGTTCATTGTCAATAGAATAAACTAACAACACGAAAGAACCATATGGCAAGGAAGATGAAGATGATAAACAAAGGCTATTACCCACCTTTTTAGGAGCTGCCTGGGAGACTCCTTGGGATGAAAACAGGGAGTGAAGCAACAACTGTTCTAATGTAAATCAAAGAAGTTAGGAAAGGGAGAGATGAGAAGAGAGAGATGTAGAGGAAAAAGACTTTTATCGAAAGAGAGAGAGGGGCTCTTGATGTTTCAGATTAAATCTTCTCATATTTATCTGCCATGTTTCTTTTGATAATTGGTGAGTCAGATTCCACTTGTCTAACTTATCCAAAATATTCTAGTGGGCGGACCTCCCTAAGAGCTTTCAAACTCTTTTTTTGAATCTTAAGTTAATGGGTATGCATTGAATTGGATTGATGTCAAATTTGGGCTGCTAGGTTTATATTTCACATATATTTGGTTCAAATTTTTTAAGGGTGTTGGTGGCCGGTCCTAAGAAGTGTACTTTAAAGTCATAAGGTCCAAGCACTTTTCTTTTGAGTCTTAAAGAACAAATTCATTTCAAATGACTCAGTTACCCTTATTTAAATAAAAAATAGAAAATTTAATAATATCCACATATAATGCACATTTCAAAATTCAATAATATATATATTCATGTACGACAATAAAGATGGAAAACGTATATATATAAATGTCATTGTACTGGAACAATGACAAACACCAATTTTGTTACCTGAAAGAAACAACTCATCATTTTTATGGATCCGAAGAACGCATGCTAGTAATGGTCTTGCATGACTCATGTTGATGAAGCCATGTTGGCAACGTTTGTTGGTTTCACTGATGATAAACCCATCCCATGGTGATGGTGGTGAATTGAAGGAAAAGAGATGAGAGAGAATAATAAAAGGAAAAAAGAAGAAGAGAAAATGAGTGAAAAGGGAGAGAAAAGAAAGAAATTTAAATAAGATATAAGAGGGAAGGATGAAAGATAGAGGAGAGAGAAAGAGTGCGATGGAATAGAGAGGAGAGAGAGAGACAAATTTAAATAAAAGAGAAGAGAAAGAATGGTTGGGATGGAAGAGAGAAATTTAAATAAGAGATAGAAGAGAGAATGAACGAAGAAAGAGGATACAAAAATTGAATTAAGAGAGGGGAGAGTGAAATTGAAGGAAGAGAAAAGAGGGACAGACCGGGTGGAAGAGAGAGAACAATGTAAGGAAGAGAGATAAATGAGATAATAAAGATAAGGGATATTCTTGCCATTAAAAATATAAGAATTGACAATTGTGAACCAAAAACCTCATATATTGCACACACATGTCCTTAATGACTTAAAAGGTACATGCTTGTACATATTGGCAAAAAAGATTCGCATAATATACTAGTGTCTAATTTTTAAATTTTTTAACTCATGATATCTAAAGTGTGAATTGGGTCAATCGTGTAAACTTCTAGTCATATAAAAATATTGGATTAATAATACTTTTGGTCCCTAACGTATATATTTTTTATCAGTTTAGCTTTCATTGTATCAATTTTGTCAATTTGGTCTCTAAAGTATTCAATTCTTGTAATGTTGATCCCTACATAGACGAACCGTTAAGTTTTTTACGGAATGATCACATGATACCGTCTAAAAAAATGACATGGGTCACTTCCATCAAATAACTTGACAGTTTGTTTGATTAGGGACCAAAATAACACGAATTGAATGCTTTATAGACCAAATTGATACAATGAAAACTAAACTAACAAAAAATACATACTTTAGGGACCAAAAGTACTATTAACTCAAAAATATTTAAACAACAATGCTACATCCACCAAAAAATTTACCAAATTTTGAATCTCAAACCAATGTGAATCATAACATCAATAGATCACACAATCTCTAACTAACTATCCAATGACTAGCTATGTGTCACATCATTTGGGATCCAATATTTAGTAAGATTTTTGGTAAACATAGCATTTTTCATATTTAAATTATATTTTATTCAACGTGTCCTCAACACGTCCGTGTCCTACTTTTAAGGAAAATGACTTGCCACATGTCCGTATCATGTTGTATTCGTGTCTCGTGTCTAGGTCTGTGCTTCTTAGTACATCATATATTTAATGGACGATCATTGAAACACAAGTCAACTGAATTAAAATTTCACCCAAAGATTTGTAAGTTGTAGAAGAAATTCATTGTGTGAAAGTGTCAACTTGATAAGTGACAAGAATTTACAATTCAATTTAGTTCAAAATTTTAGGCTATCCATAGCATTCTTCTCAAGATTCAAACAAATCCAAACACAATGTGGTACCGTTCTATAAGGATATAAAATACTAAAAAACATAACAGCATTTCAAGTTCAAGCTAAAAACATGATTAAAATACCGAACCTTGGCAATCAGCCGAAATGTATCAAAAACCTTGGCAATGGTCAGTACTTCTGGTTTTCGCATTAGAGGCTGGGATGAACGGCTTGCTTTTGCAACAAGGCCTAAGTCTCCTAATTCCTATCATTAAGGACATAGAAATAAAGAATCGGTGACTCAAAATTAATCAAAAAGAGAGAGAACTTCCATAATAGCAAGAATAAGCACAAAGTTGAATTGGTGCCAAATGGTAACAAGTAACAACCATGGACCAATACAATTAAAAAACTTCAATCGTCCACCTAACCACATACTGCAATGCATAAATAATTAAAAAAAAAAGAGAGAGATTACCATCCATTGTCCACATCATAGAAAATATCGGTAATAGCATGAATGGCAAGAAATTGATAACATGCACATAAATTAATGCCTAAAATTCTTCTTATTCTCAATAGGATAGTTATTGACCTCTGATACTGTAGCTGTGAAATAATGCAATTCAGATATAAGAATATGATTAAAAAACAGAGGAACAAGTTCTTGTAGCATCATTTATTGGAGCATATTCACAAGTTATCAGAATCCATCAGCACTGAAGCTGGACATTATTAACATATTGCTATGACAAACAAATACAATTTAAAAACCGATATAAGGTCATATGACCTTGTTTCACACATGATTGCCACGAATCATAGTCACTCAAACCCAAAATTCTTTAATATACGGCTAATTGGCTATGTCAAATTTGAACAAGCTGATACAACCTGACCACTTAATGGGGTAAACTGGTCATGCTTGCGTACAAAATAAGAACCTAAGCATTCCAGTTGGACTCCGTTCAAATCGTGGAAACTGAATCCAAACCAAGTTGAGCACAATTTAAGATGCAAAAACTGACCCAAACTGAGCCAAACAATCTGGCACTGTCAATGGTCCACATGTCACACAAATATATAAAGTACATATACAATCAACAAACTCCGAAATAAATAGCATATTATGCCCAAGGACTGAAGGCATGTAATATAATACAGCATATCATATCTTTCTGGGGCTAGTCCACTCAGAGAATGAGGAGAAAAGAGAAAAAAAAAAAGATAAATCAATGCTACCATTGGCATCTTATGCTCTCACCGATTTATTCTCATTTTAAACCATTCAACAATGACAATGGGCAATAATATCTAGCACAACAGGCAAAGTGAGGATCTGCAAGGTCGACACGAATCGAATCCAAAATAAGCATTAATTTATATCTCTTTTGACCCTTATGTGGTTCTCAAGTTCCAACTCTCCACAACTCTATTGAAGTAACATATTCTGACTCGATGCTAAAAGATCAACGACTGTTTGGCAGGGTTTAGGCTGAAGGCAGAAACCCAAGATTTGAGCTCTGGCAAGTGGCAATTCCCCATAGTAAGCTCTTAAACAAGTGCCCTAAGACATCATAACCAACTCACAAACATAAAACAATCAATACATTACCTTGTATTGCTTCTTAATTTGCGTGTCCTTGGTTCCGCAAGCCTCTGCAAGGGCCTTAATAATCGAAGCATCCCCAATGCCAAGCTCCAACCCTTCATGAGCCGGCGCAATCCTATTTGCCGAAAGATACACAACTGCAACCAGATCCTCGGGTGTCATCTGAATCACAGTCCTCAACATATTGCACACCATTTCCGTTATAGCAATCCGACCTGATTCCTTTGAAATCGCATCAAATACCTTAACAAGAAATAAAAACGGCACCTTGTCACCCTCCCCCCAAAACGCAGCCTTTTGGGGGCTAAAATTAGCCGCCTTCTTTTTCAATTCCACAATACTGTCATGGGCACTAATCAACCTCCGTTTCTTAACGTCCAATTTAGGGGTTTGCTGATCATCTTTTGACCCATTTGCAACGCGGGTTTCTTCAATTGGCTTAGAATTTGAACAGTTAGGCTCTTTTCCATCTAATTTGGGTTCATTTAGGAGTTGGGTTTCTGAATTGGGTGTTTGGGTTTTCCTAGGGTTTTGATTGGTTGTGTTTGATTCTAGGGTTTTCCGTTTCTTGGGTGACGATTGTTGAGTTTGGGATTGGGCTTTTTTCTTCGAAGCGTTTGACATGAGGACGTCGAAGGCGGAGGGGCGGGATGACATCGTGGATTTAGGTGTATGGTTAGGGGACAAGATGAGTTTGAAAGAGAAGGGTTTTGGGGAGGAGAGAGAGACGGCGCAGAGGGAAGGAGAGAGGTTTAGATAGATTTTGAGATGGTGAGAGAGAGTTGAGTGAGTCAAACTGTAACAGCATGACCGGAGTGAGAGCATCGACCGATGAATTGGAGTTGTGCAGGCGGTGGCTTGAGAGAGAGAAAGAAAGGAATGAGTAGAGAACTGGCGGGAAAAATAACGTTTTCTATACGCTGTTGTTGCAATTTTTGAGATTTTTTTTTTAATGCAAACTTTTAACTCTACTTCTTCTAGTTTAACATATCTTCGAAGACACCCCTCTATTATTAAAAATATTATTGACACCTTTTCTAATTTATATTTAAATATCACTCACACCCCTTATCATTAAACCACTATTTATAACAAAAATAAATTATCTAAAATACCAAAATTACTCCTACATAAACCCAAAACAATATTTTTACAGAAAATTTTATTAAAATTCATTTTTTTACATACTAAAATTTGAGTTAATTAAATTTTTTTTCTACATATTAAATTTAAACCGATTAAAATTCGATTTGAATTGATTAAATTTTATTTTTTTATGTATTAAAATTTGAGTATATTAAAAGTCTTTTTTTACGTATTAAAATTCGAACTGATTTGAGCTTTACTTGAACTGTTTGTCTCGATTAAAATTATTTTTGAATTGATTAAAATTTATTATTGTTATTTATTAAAATTAGATTCAAGTTAAATCAAATTTATTTTTTATGTATTAAAATTTGAGTTGATTAAAATTTAAATTTTTTTATGTATCAAAATTCAAGTTGATTAAAATTTAACATGAATTGATTAAAATTTAATTTGAGCATCGAATAGAATTTTAATCGGTTAAAATTTTAATGAATAGAAAAAATAAATTTTTAATCAACTCAAATTTTAATACATAAAAAATAAATTTTAACTAACTCGAATTGAATTTTAATTGGTCTAAATTTTAATACGTGAAAAAATTTAGAAAATAGAGGAAGTCTCATTGAAGATATGTCTATTTAGAGGGAGTGACAATTAAATTTTTCCTAAAATATATCATGGGCAATTTAATAAGATTACATTCTAATTAACATTTTTAATCTGATAAGGGGTGTGACTAAAATTTTTTTATTTTAAATTTATTCTTTTACTAAAAGGTTAGGATAGACTTATAGTTACAACAGACTTAACAAAAATACAAGAATTTTTTCACTATAAACCACTTGCTTTATTTGAATAGAAAAATAGTCGTAACTAACCTAGTTCGAAAGATAAAATTTTTGTAAAACGTTAGAACTTGATTGTCACCCCTTAAAAATACAGCTACCAGACAAGGAAATACATCTTGAAAGGAAACGGAAAGAGCGTATGGAAAGAGTAAGAGCCTTGGTTTTTGTTTTTGTTTTTTTGTTTTGGGTAAGTAGAGCCTTGGTTTTTGTTACCTTCACTACAACGTGATTTATCACAACTACATGACTAGTTTTAATAATATTATTGACCAAATTTTACAAAAAAAAAAAAACTATTGAGTAAACATTCATTATAACGGTGATATGTCATTCATGACCGATAATATCATCATCTAATAATAAACACCGCATAGGATAATTGAACTCCACTACTCTTGGGGCGGAGCCACCCTTAGGCTAGAGTGGACACATGCCCCCCTCAAAAAATTTTTCCTTCATACTAAGTATATATTTTTTAAAATAAAATTTAAACATATTTAATTGTGTCCATCATAATATATATTTTGATGATATTGATTTAAACAGACATCTACCTAAATGATTATTAATTTTTTGAATAATATTATTTAAACCTAATTTTAGGACCTAAAACATAGCGATATTAAGTATAATAGTGAGTCCTAATATTTAATAAACTCCATTATTTATACAATAGTCACAAACCATTAGATCTCCATCAATTAAATGTCAAATCATGGACAACTAATATAATTGTTAACTTTTAAACATGTTTTAGATATGTCTGAATATGTTTTGAACAAATTGATGTTATTTTATAATTTTTTTAAATTGCAGGGTTATTTCGTTATTATATAAAAATATGTATCGTTACGTAATAAACTATAGGATCATAAATAAAATATTGTTACAGCGATTTTATTTATAAAAGAAATATTATTGATAAAATTAATTTGTGACACTATCAAATAATAAAAGCATAACAGGATCAATTGTAAGTAATAACGATTAGTCGCATTCTCGATAAAAAATTTTAATTATTATTTTTTTGTTTATGAGTATATCGACTTTTAATCTTCTATGTTTAAAAAGTATTAAATATAATTTTAATAAATATAAATTTATGAACTTTAACGGTCTATTAAAAAAAATTAAAGAATAATAGTGTGTCCACCTTAAAAAAAATTTCTGACTCCGCCCCTGACTACTCTAACGTGTTAATTAGTCAGTATTGTAGTTTTTGAAACTTACTAAAATAATGGGATCCACTATACGCACATTGTATATTCATTAGTTAGTAATACCACGTGATATCAAACTTACTATTTTCTCCCTAAGTATGCGAGAATTCAGAACTCAGAAGTTCCTTGATCAACAAGATTGAGACACAACAAGAGGAGCCCATTCTGTTGCAGTGATAAATATACATCCATAATAAAAGCAAATCCAACAGAAAATGTATTGCAAGCCATAGTGTTGGTGGGAAAACATTGTTTGAAGTTGAAAGTAGAAACTATAGTATTGTAGTCTTTAGAATTTGCAAGAATATTTATGGAATCTTTAGAGATAATATTTGAAGATAATAAGTATTTATCTACCTAACTTACGAGTTTAAAATTTCAGTTTGTGCTCGAACATACCCTATAATAAGATGTGTGGTGATTTTACAAATATATAAACAATATAACAAACATGAAAAGGCTTTAATTATCAAATCATGCATTGAAAGAAAAAATAAAGAAAACAAGCACTCAAAGCAACAGACTCAGCCATATATATAAGCAACTTGGAGGAGAAAATAACACGGAATGTATAGTAAAATTCTTTCAGACTATTTTCTTATAAAATGCGAAGTCAAAAAATGTTTGCATAATCTTAAAATTAAGCAAACTTGAAATCCATTTTTTCTGAGTCAGTAGGATAAATCGAGAGAGTGAAATGACTGATCGTTGGCAGAAATTTGTTGCAAAAAAAAAGGTGTTACGGGCAGATAGTGGATGGAAGCCAAGTTGATTTCTGGGAGGATACATAAACAGATTGCTAATACTCAAAATAGCAGGGTTAAAAGGGTGCAAGAGTTGATACAAGTCCCTAACAAAAGATGGAATAGATATCTAGTTCTAGCTTCTTTCCCAGCTAATATTGCAAAGAACATTCTAACAATAGCCCTCAATGAAACTCAACAAACAATGGACACATTTGGGGAATGGGTGGTACTCAGTGAAGAGTGGATATCACCTACAATTGAGTTGCATTGATGAAGGGAACATTCACCTACATGCCTCTACATCCTATAGATCCCCACAAGACCTCTGAAAAATGATATGACATCTACCTGTATGGCAAAAGGTTAGGATGGGGCACTAGCAACTAGATGGAACCTATCAAACTCTCCACTATGTCCAATTTGTGGAGAGGAGGAAGAGACTATGGAGCATTTACTGCTATTATGCCCTTGGGCAAGTGAGGTTTGGAGGGCATCCGCACTATTGATCAACATTGATAGATACAAAGTGAATATGATTGAAAACTGGCTGAGTGACCAACTTCAGAAAGAAAGGAACAAGGCCTTAACACGTAAGGAGGGTTAATGTGAGACCCAAACATGCATTGTGTAATTAGTGTTGTTAGTTATGGGGGTTAAATTACAGTTAATCAAATTGTGGGGTATTAAATGATATTATAAATAAAAAACCTAGGGATTAAATTATATTGGATGACAAAGTTTTGGGGTGCAATTGGTGTGTGGTTGAAAATTAAGTGATGAATGTATGAATGGGGAGAATAAATGAGAAAAAATGGTTAGTCAAGGAGGACATTCGTCTTTCCTTAGCCTTATTTCTTTTGTTATGTACTTGTTAATGTATACGTGTGTCTTTATTTTTTTTGAACAAAACACAACAGGATATCCATTTCATTATGTAGGAAAGTTGAGGTTACAATCAATCAAAAGAAAAGTCGTAAGCACGGAGGGGTGGTGGGGGAGAGTCTAACCAATTCAATGAAATCAAATTGTTTAACATAGTGGCCGCTACCCAATAAGTAGTCTTGTTATAGGTTCTAGGCTTGTGTTGAAAGGTAAGGTTATATAATCTAGCATAATGTCTAATGTCTTCAATGATAACTCTAACTTCCCACAGGGGGACATCTTCATTGGAGCTGAGTTGAATGATATTAAGATAATCATGCAATATAGTTGCATGTGTGATCAACAAAGATTCTGCAATGAGGCATCCTTGCCTTACCACCTCTACTTCAGAGAGCAAACAAGATGTAGCTGGGAAGGCCTTTGCACTGCCAAACTCTAGTTTTTCCCTATTCGTACTTATCACCACTCCACAAGCGGCCTTAGCAGTACCTAACTTGAATGCTCCATCGTAGAAGATACGAATCCCAGCCTCAGCCTCTTGTGGTCTCACCTTCCTTGCCTTTGATTCCCTCTGTCCCTTAGATGATCCCCCATCTGCAGTTCTAAATTAAGCCCTCCACATGGCTTGGGCACGAAGGATTGTGGCATAGTCGTTAACTTGTTCCATGTTGAAGGCGAACTTGTTCCTTGCCTTTCAAATAACTCATCCCACAGTGGCCAATTTCCCCAAGAAAACATGTTTGTCTTGGGCCTCCTTCAACATTTGTAGGATTGCAGAGGTCCTTTGGGCCACCAACGCCAAAGATGAGGCCTCCCACTGAATCCTACGGTCCATCCCAAACCATACTCTCTTGGTCCATTCACATTCAAACAAAATATGTTCAATTGACTCCGGGACTAGCTTACAAATCTAGTAGACAGACGTAGAGGCACATCTCCTCTTAAATAGATTAGCCTGTGTAGCAAGAATATTCATGCATGTTTTCCACCAAAAATGCCTTACCTTTGGGACAACCTTCATGTTCCAAATTGACTGCCACAACTTAGGATGAAGGGATACAGAGGAGCTAACCTCCGG